GGGCAGGAGGGGGGAGCTCAGCCCCCATCAATTATTCACCTTGGTATTTATAGAGGGAAATGTGGTGAATAATGGATGTGGGGTGGGGAGGGGCCGCTGGCAAACCGGCCTCACTGCTGCTGAAATATTTATTGGGCCAGTTTGCTGGGGTGCCACCCGGCTGCCGCGAGGCTGGGTGAGGATCTGGCTGGCACGGGATCACACCAAGGGCCTGGTTGGCATGGTGAGAGCTGGCAGCTCTGCTCTGCCACCGCTGCCTCCTCTCCTCTCCACAAAAATGATCCGAGGGCTGGAGCAGCTCTGCTGTGAGGACAGGCTGAGAGAGTTGGGGCTGTTCAGCCTGGAGAAGAGAAGGCTCCGGGGAGATCTTATAGCGGCCTCCCAGTACCTGAAGGGGCTCCAGGAAGGTGGGGAGGGACTTTGGCCAAGGGCAGGGAGTGACAGAACAAGGGGTGATGGCTTGAAAGTGGCAGAGGGGAGATGGAGCTGAGATGTGAGGAAGAAATTGTTTGGTGTGAGGGTGGTGAGACAGTGTCCCAGGTTGGCCAGAGAAGCTGTGGCTGCTCCTCCCTGGAAGTGTTTGTGGCCAGGTTGGATGAGGCTTTGAGCAACCTGGTCTAGTGGAAGGTGTCCCTGCTGCTGGCAGGGGGGTTGGGACTGGATGAGCTTGAAGGTCCCTTCCAACCCAAACCATCCCATGAGTCTCTGATCCTGCTCCATCTCCCATCAGCAGCTGGATCCCAGGCTCAGAGAGGGACGTGAATATCTGGGGACAAATCTCCATCCAGCTCCCACCACAGGGCACACCAGGGCCATGCAGCCCCTCAGAGGACCCCACTCTATGCCCCAGGCCTGTCCCCTTTGCCACTGTCCCCAGTGCCACCTTGCACCACCCAGTCCCCAGTGCCACCCTGCTCCCCTCACAGGGACCTCCAGGGTCTCCCTCCCCTCTGACACCAAGTTGTCCCCCAGCCCTGCCCACCCTCCCTGCCAGCCCCTCAGCCCCCACCCCTCGAAGATGTCGAACCCGAGAAACGGCGACCCCACCAAGCCCCCATGTTTGCCCCGCAATGGACTGGTGAAGATCCCCACTCAAGCCAACGGCCTCGGCTCCGCCAGCATCACCAAAGGCACCCCCGCCGTGAAGAACCGCCTGTGCCAGCCTTCCTCCGTGCCTGCCATCCTCAACCCAGCCTTAGCCCACCGCAGCGACCTGCCCACCATCCCCAGCCTGGCCTCCCCGCTCTCCTTGGCCACTCTGGCCGGTGTCTCCTCCCCTCCCGGTGCTTCCTTGGTGGGACTGAACACGAGTGAAGGTTCGGAGCAGCCCTCACCGGAGCGGCTGGCCGGCTCCCCCTCGGGTGGATGAGAAGATCCTCAACCGTTTGTTCTGGTACTTTTCGGCGTGTGAGAAGTGTGTGCTGGCACAGGTGTGCAAGGCGTGGAGACGGGTGCTCTACCAACCCAAGTTCTGGGTGGGTTTGACGCCTGTCCTGCACACCAAAGAGCTCTACAACGTCCTACCCGGTGGGGAGAAGGAGTTTGTCAACCTGCAGGGCTTTGCTGTCCGTGGCTTTGACGGCTTCTGCCTCGTGGGTGTCTCTGACCTGGACATTTGTGAGTTCATTGACAACTACCCCCTCTCCAAGAAAGGGGTCAAGTCCATGAGCCTTAAGAGGTCAACCATCACGGACGCGGGGTTGGAGGTAGGTGTCTCCAGTGAAGTGGGGAGAGTGGAGGAGATGTGCTGATGGCAGGTTCTTCCTGGTGGCCATGGGGACACACATGTGTGTGGGCAGAGCTTTCACCAGCCACAGGCAAGGAGCAGGTGGTGTGGTTGTCCCATGGGTGTGGGCAACCTCAGGAGCTCCTACCTGTGGTTTGGGCAGTGGGATGGGCTGCCCTCAGGGATGTGGGGTGAGGATGCTGCTGGGGGGTCATCCCTGCTGCCTGCAGATGCTGCTGGAAGGCAGAGCCAGGTGAGGTGACCCTGCCAGGTGAGGTGGCCCTGCTGCTGGGTGGTGGATGTGGTGGCAGGTGGTGAGCAGGGCTCAGGGGATGGGGACATCCCAGCTTGGCTGGCTGCTCCCCAGCAAGGGGGGTCTCCTGGGCTGGCCTGGTGGAGATGAGGCAACCCATGGTCCTGCACGTGACCAGGTAAGATCCCCACTGAGTTCCTCTGCCCCATGCGGTGGCCAAACACAGCACCAGCTGCTCCATGGCCACATCCTGCCCCTGCCAACAGCACGGGGTGCAGAGCAGGGGTGGTGGCCAGGGGTCCCTGCCTGTCCCCTGCTGTCCCCTGCCCATGATGGCATGTCCTAGAGCAGGGCACTGCTCCAACCCCAAGGGGGTCCCATGGGGAAGGCTGGACCCACCCAGGTCTGGGGGCAGTAGGAATTGCCCCG